GGATAAAAAAAAAGGGCAGCACTAAACAATCTGATGAAATAACAAAGCTCAGAAAATACAATTTGAATAGTAAACTTGAAAGAAAAGATGAGTGAATCGTCTGCTTTTTTACTTTGATGCAGATAGGATGGGGAAAAAAACTTTTATCATGATGTCAATAATTTGGTATTTTTGTTACGACTTGTTATTATTTGGTAATTATGACATCATTATTCAGTAAGTATTTTTTCTTCAATATTTCATACTCCATGTTGCGGTTTCCGGAACATATAAACTGAATGTTTATATTTTGAGAGGCAATGTGGATTTTAGGTATTTGACTGTACTTATAAATAATGTGCAAAATTACTCTTTAAATTAATTTTCCAATGAATGACACACATTTAGTAATGGAATGAATCTATTCACATAGTATTTTATATAATAAGTTGAGAGTTTGAATCATATGGCTGATATTTCATGGTACAAACTTTGAGGGCTGGTACAATCACATTTTGCTAAGCATCAAAGCACAAACACAGGAAAGATCAAATGCAGGAGATGGAGAAGAAACGGAGTTAGTAGTTCATTCCATTGCCTGTAGATGGCCAGTCGGCATTGATTTGGGGAAGAGAGGCCATTCTTGTTTGAGTTTTCGTCTGTGATGGGAGATTTTGTATTTGCCAAAAAAACCAGACATGTATTACAATGTACGGCCATGCAAATGGAAACGGCAGAGCTGCACTACAAATGTACCGTGAGCAGTATCCTGACAGACGAATGCCAGATCACAGAATGTTTCAGAGATTACATCGTCAACTTTGTGAAATAATTTCATTCCACATTACCAGACATGACGTTGGTCCACGAACAACTGTATGCACTGCAACAGTTGAAGAAAGAATCTTGCAAATGGTGGCTGCTACATCCAAATCGAGTACAAGAGCTGTTGCACAGACTGTAGGTGTGAGTTAATACACTGTTTGGAGAGTGTTGCACGATAACCGCCTATACCCTTTCCATTATCAGCATGTATATGCTTTTAAACCTGAAGACTATTTTCTGCACAAGAATTTCTGCCAGTGGTTTCTGCAGCAATGTGAATTGCAGCCGAACCTTTCTGCCCATGTCTTATTTACAGATGAGGTGACATTTACACGCGATGGTTTTAATGTGCACAACTGTCATGTTTAGGCCAACAAGAATCCACATGCGTTTCGAGAACGCTACAGTGTCAGTGTGTGGGCTAGTTTTGTAAATGACTTCTTGATTGGCCCATAACTACTGCCACAGCGACTCAATGACCATTATTATCTCCTTTTTCTTCAACATGTTTTACCAGATTTGCTACATGTTCCAATCATCATTAGAAACTGCATGTGATTTCAGCACGATGGGGCACCAGTCCACTTCACCCAGATGTTTGTCGATGCTTGAATGCGACATTTGGCATACGATGGATTGGACATGGTGGATCTATCTCTTGGCCACCTTGGTCTCCTGATTTGACACCTCTCAATTTCTTTTTATGGGGACATTGAAGAACGACGTTTATGCCAGTACAGTAGACTCCAATGAAGATCTCATTACTTGAATATCCGTAGCTGCTGCATGTGTGCGTGAAATTTCTGGTATCTTTTAAAGTGTTCGTCAATCGCTGCATGAATGCTGTCAAGCATGTATCAATGCTGATGGACACAAATTTGAACACTTATTGTAAATTAATTTTTACTTGTAAACAAGGTTATGAAAATAAAATATTTCCCTTATCATTTGTTCTTTCCTGTGTTTGTGCTTCGATGCTTCACTTTTGACCATACATTCCTATACAAAACGTGATTGTTACAGTGTCCTGTACCAGCCCTTAAAGTTTGTACCATGAATTAGCAGTCACCATGTGTATCTAAACATCTTACTTATTCAAAAAATATAATACATTGGAACGAAGGGACAGACTATGAATCCCTAAGATACATCACTGTTCTATGTGAAAATGTAGTGATTCTAAACCAATAAAATGGCACAACTCAGTTCATTTAAATCTTTTTTTAATTAGTAGATAAATATGTTACAAGCAATCACTCGCAAGAATTCTTGTTACTGGATTAACTGGGACAGAAGAGAGCGTTGATTTTTTTATTATTGAAATACACTTTCCTCAACTTAAAAAGGTTAATCTTTGGATTATGGTAACTCGACGATTTTTTGGCGACCAACCCTGCTACAGCAACCTAATATTTCTCAATTGGATGCCACTTTGTTTTCACAAAGTAAAGATATTTTTTTTTTCTCAACATTTTTTTCCAACAATCTGCTAGCCGAATTAGTTACACTTTTATGGAACAAAAGTGCTTAATCATGACAAAGATTAGGTGCAAAATTGGGACAAAGTGCACGCCCACTGCTTGCCACGTTTTTACGAATTGCACATACACGGTATCATCCATGTACACGCCAACCTATTTTCACTTTAAAAAACATCCCAGAATTGCACAAAAATGGCATTGCGCACACTCTTGACTATATCCATATACACTGCTAACATCCTAGATAGTAACCTTTATCGCCTTACCAAAATGTTGCCAAACTACCTGTTACCATATTCCAAAGATTATCCCTTAAAAATATTACGAGAATGAAATATAAATGGAATAAAAGCACGGCTCTACTCTTATATGCGCCCTAAGATCACCAAATATGGCGAAGTGTGTTCTGCGCTGGTTTTTGGTGTGTTTCTGTGCTGCGAGATGGTTTGGTGGACGATGCTGTTTGTATGGCAACCCTTTTGAGATTGTGTGCAAAGTAAATTTAATATTAAAAGGTATGATGTTGGAATTGTTAACAAGTCTTTTGTTCATGGGTGTCTTTATGAGGATTGAAGTGTATTTTTGAAATTTCTGTGGGACTTTTAAAATGGACTCTGAAATGCAGAGCTGCTATGAGAACTTGGATGAAGAAGGGCATTTCTGATAGTTCTTGTGTGGATTTGCAGTTAAATGGTTGTTGGTAAAGTTGTAGCTGTCAGCGGAGTTTAAGATTTTGATTGTGGTTTTCATGTATGTAAACTTTGGAGGAAGTTTTATCGTTACTTTCAAAATTTTGAATCTCGGAATGACATGTAATATAGCAAAATCGTTGCAATTTTGTTAAGAGACGTTGTGTTACTGGCAAAATTTTATTCAGGAATTATGGTAAATGCATTTTAGTTTACTGTTTTTATTTTGTAGAATGTTATGTTCATTTTTTTTTTTTTTTTTTACTACGAATTTCTGTTGCTATTGTTTATTGAATTGTTTGTAATTTAGTTTAGTTTATTTGGTTGATTTGTGCGCAATGCCTAGATTGTGCAATTCGTAGATTTTTTTAAAGTTTAAACAGAATGCTGTGTACATGGTATTCTTTGAAATTTATTGTTATGTTAATTTATTAAAGTGAGGTGTGCGTAGTTCATAGATTCCTTTGCTGGCTAGATTGTGCAATTTGTAGAATCTTTGTTAAAGTTAAAACATATCGCTGTGTACATGGATTCTTGTCAAATTTTTTTGGTTAGAAACTTTATGTTTTTGCTATCTAAATTTTTTGTTTTGGACTTTTTAGCTTAAATTGTGTGTTCAAAACGTCGCTTTTGCATGTGCGAAAACAGTGTTTTGGAGACATTTTAGGCTTAAAGTTTGAAATGTAGACAAAAAATTTAGATAGTAATATGACACCATGGAGTTTTTGTCGCAAAGCGAGGGCATATATAAGAGTAGTTCTAAAAGCACATATTAATGGATTTCTTACTCTTCAATGTGATGACAAATGATAAAATGAATAAATATAATAAGCAATTCGCATCTACACTAATTAGAGCATGAAAGCAGTTATATAGGTTTCAGTAATAGCTATTAAATATTATTTTAGGATTTCAGATTATTTATTCAACTAAAGTAATCAGTTAATCTTTGGAATATGGTATTTTGGCGACATTTTGGTAAGGCGATAAAGATTACTAGCTAGGACTTTAGCAGTGTACATGGATAAATTAAAGAGTGTGCGCAATGCTATTTTTGTGCAATTCTGGGATTTTTTTAAAGTGAAAATAGGTCAACGTGTACATGGATGATACCGTGTATGTGAAATTCTTAAAAACGCGGCAAGCAGTGGGCGATTCTGCACTTTCTCCCAATTTTGCACCTAATCTTCGTCATGATTAAGCACTTTTGTTCCATAAAAGTTCTAGCATAAGCGTAATTCGGCTAGCAGATAGTTGGAAAAAAATGTTGAGTAAAAAAAAAACATGCCTTTACTTCATGAAAACAAAATGGCATCCAATTGAGGAATATTAGGTTGCTGTAGCAGGGTTGGTCACCAAAAAATTGCCAAGTTATCATAATCCGAAGATTAACCAAGTAATCTGGCGTATTTTTGGTAACATTATCATACTTTAAATTTAGCATACAAAATTCAATTAAATTATGACATAACCTTCCACAATTACAGCTAATATCAGTTCTAATCTATCAATGAAAAACATAACCCAATAAATTCAAACAGAAATGTAAGAACTACAAAAATGACACAAGAAGGGAAAAGGAAAGATTATCACAATTTCAGTTTCCTAAATTTTCAACATTCTTTATCATTTACTACTTCCCCCAATTAGTTTGAATTTTATTCAAGTCAAAACAGTTATCTTTTACTGCAGAAAAGTTTAGTACAATTAACATTCTATTATTTTAATAGCTAAGACTGAAATTTCCTGCTTGAATTTAATTAAAACTATTAGAAGCAAGCAATCTAAATACAACTCAAACAGTATTATGCACATAACAAACGATTCAAGCAACATGCACACGAAACAATAAATTTTTAATTATAAGCAAATAAAATACCGTGAAATGCTACGCATACAAATGATTCGTTAAGAAACTAGTTCTAAACCTTTTACGTTGATAATAATATATATATATATATTTGCGCAGAGTTTTTTACAGCGGTGTGAATAAAATATGAACTTATAAAAGTTTGAAACATATTACTTGTTTCTCATATTCTTTAAACTGCTTTTCACGCTCTTCTCGGAATCGAAGAACTTCAGCTTGAGCCTCCTCTTTAGCCTTCTTAAGTTTTGCTGCTTTGCCTATAATTAAATATATCAGATTTCATTTTCAAGAATACACATTCATGGAAAATATACGATTTATCTTTAATTAGAAAATGCTACACAGCCATTACGTTACAAATCCATACAGATAATTAAAAGGTGGTTTACGTTTTCTGGCTTGGTTTACTTTTTCATCAGCTCTTTTCTCGGCAGCGAGCAGCTGTTGTATACCCTGAGTTTGACTAGCCATGATGTACTGCTATAATGGCTAAATATACTTTTATATGAAGTAATTAAATCAAATTTACTACTTTGAAATAATCTTGTATCACGGATAGATATACCAAGATAAGATGCTGCTCCAAACTTACAAAAATCACACTGTACAACCACTGTTCACATTTCGCAAACTACATCAAGGCCATTTAGAGATATCAGCGGAAAAGATAAAGCTCGAGTGCATTTAATAATAATCAGTTTTATAATATTTTAAATATCCTAAGCTATAACTTTTTGAAATGATCTTTCTTACAGAAATAAAATGACTGAGTTAATAAATTTTAATAATTTTAAAAATGTCTCAAAATACATTTTTCTTAAAGTATTGTATTAATTTAATAACTTTAGTCTTGTGTAAATAATTTAGCAATTAAACATAAAGTTTGGAACTGAAATTTTGAAAAATAATTAAAAAAACAACCATTTGCTTGCAGGTAACATTTTGAGAAAAGAAGCATAAAAACACGTGTTCTTAAGCAATAATTAGTTAAATTGATATTGATATTCTAATAGTAATAGAAAAGGCTATTTTTAACAAACAGCAGGAGAATATTTGGTTAATTTAATTATTTTTTTTGGCAACGCATGTGCTGAACATTAAGCCTCATATGAGAGACATGATTTCTTCTGAGGTGGCAATACTCGCTCAAAATAGCGAACTAATCAAAACAGAATTGGGTTTCAATATGCGGCAATGATGTTATGCGGCATAATCTTTTTAGATATTGTCCAGTTCATTGTTGGAACTGTTCTGAAAATCAGTTTTTTGAGTCTTTCATATGCTTCTTGAGTTTTAGCTGTTGCTTAGCTTTTTAATTTTCCTGCCGTGGTCTCCAGTTTTTTACATATATTATGAAATATTATTTCTGCACAAAAAAGTTTTGTTCATGAGGTCATCGTTCAATAAATGTTTCATCAGCGTGAATAATGGTATGAAAATTATTACATTGGATTTAATGTTTGACTTTTATCATTACTAGCGATTTATATGCTTGTTGAAAAGTCATAAAGTAATCTAGTGAAGTTGTGTATCCAATTTTGTTTAATATTAAGTGAAATACGATGGCGACACCTGCTACTACTCCTCGAACTCCATTCAAGTTCGATATTTCGAACTTACTTCCAGAAGGGCACGAGAAAGCTCTTAAACAAGCATTTTATAACGTCGCTGCCACTGTTTTTGTGGTGTTTGTTTCTGCTGCTTGTGTGGCTGTATATTATGTATTGGAACCTTTTTTGCGACCTCTGTTATGGGCCGTTCTATTTGGTTCTGTGCTACATCCTTTTAAACATGGTATGACAGTTGTTTTAAAGCGATGGTTGCAATCTCTTCAGGTTTCTGGGACTCCACTTACAGTTGGGGCTTTAACTTCACCATTCTTCGTTATTGATCATATTTCAGAGCAAATGTGGAATTTTACAATGCAGTATGCTATATTATTCATTACTATTGTTGGATGTGTATCTGTTTCATTTTTGATATACAGTTGTGTGCCTGATTTTATGACACTTTTTTTTTATGATGTGTTAAGTCGACTACTTAATGGTGCATCTATGCTGCTAGAATTCTGTCATGGAGCAACATTGTTTGTAAGTATATTAAAAAAAAAGGTGAAAAAATTAATGAAATTTTCTGGTTTCTTTAGAATGATTTTAGTTTTAATATTAAAACTGCATTTTAAATTTTAATTAAATTTGTTTTCTTTTTATAATTTGGTACATTAAAATATGTAATTATTTTTTAATTTTCGTAAAAGTTTACAATTGGGTGCCCGTTGTTTTTTGGCGATTCTTTTTTGGCACCAGGAAGGCACAATTTCAAGGTGGCCGCTACACAAAACCAAAATAAGAAGTCAAAGAATTGCACAAACTTTGTGTCCATGTACACATCGATCTGTTTTCACTTAAAAAAAACATCCTAGAATTGCACAACTAAGCATTGTGCAGTGCCTTAAATTTGGCCATGTACACATCAATTTATTTTCATTTAAATAAAATAAGGAAGCTAAAACATAGTTAAAACTATCATGTTAACCAGAAGTGAGGTTTCATCACAAAATTTTTAAAAAATTGTCACTGATCGAAGAGGCACCCAATTCTACCGTAGAGCCTAATTTTCTTTTATTCCATATAGTTTATTAGACAAAAATGTAATATATTTAATATTGTGCATTCATTTTATTAGCCTTGGATTTCTTTAAGCCACAGGGTTCATAGGTTAAAGTTTTGGATTCATATATCACATCAATAGCCTTAAATCTAAGCAGCCATTACCAATAAAGAAAATGAAAGTATTGAACATAAATCTTTTAAAATCATTCTTGAATATATGAAATTATCACAGTGCTTGTTTAAAAGCAGTAATTACAGTAGGCTGCGTAATATGATCATGTCCGTTCTAACCTTATTTGATTGCATAAAGTAGTTGAGTTTTATATGCCAAGTTACCATAATCCAAAGATTAACCGAATAAAGTTTTTGTTTATGTTGAAGGCGGTGACCCAAGAATACGCTCTGTACACGTAATGAATTAAAATGTTAAAATTAGTAAACCACTAAATCACCATCATCTGATTTAGAAACATAAAAAATATATGGTGCATGCGGTGAAAATATAAAACTTTGAAAAGGTTTTGTGTGTTCGATCTGAGTGTTTCGATTTGGAGTTAAGAATGGAAAGTTCATATTCAAGGGACAATGGAATTCCAAATAAAGGTAGGGAAATCTTAAATTAATTATTTAGTGATTATTTGTAGTAAATTAGTAAGTATCTATTATTGCTGTCATGGGTGTATTTAAATTAAATAAAATGGAAGATAAGTTAGACAGATTGAAATGTAAACATTCTACATTGAGATTGTCTGTTACAAGGCTAATTAAAGTGATTGAAGATAAAATAAAAATTGAAGGGGAGGAAAATTCCATTAAAGAATTACGAGAATTGTTTGAATTATTAATCGAAAAGAAAAATAATTTGAGAACGCTTGATGATGAAATACAAGAGTTAACTGATGTTAACTTAATTGAAGAAGATTATAGTTTAAGTGAAGAATGCAATGACAAATGTATAACTGTAGTCAAATTAAGCAGTTTCTAGATGCGGTTACCGCAGTACCGCCAGCGAGGAATTTCCAAAGATCTGATTTAAACCAGTCTAGCGGTAATGGAATTTTGCATGCAAGTTCCAGTTCTAGCGGAAGTAGTATGCTAAAATTACCAAAATTAATGATTGATAAATTTTGGGGAGACCTCAAACAATTGAATGAATTTTGGAATAGTTTCAAAAATTCGATAGGTAAAACGAAACGCTCTCAAAAATACAAAAATTTGCATACTTAACCTTCCAGCATGTGCACTCAGCAATTTTACATGAGCACACGTGGGTTGTATTTTTTACAACATCTGTTATTTTACTGTTTTGGGCACAAAAAACAACAGAAATGAGTGAGTGTAGCAGCGATTTTTGTGCCAAAAATTGCAGCTACACAAAGCCAAAATAACAAGGCAAAGAATTGCACAAACTCTGTATCCATGTACACATTGACCTATTTTCACTTTAAAAAAAAATCAGAGAATTACACAAACTTGGCATTGTACACTCCCTTGACGTTATCCATGTACACATTGACCTATTTTCACTTAAAAAAAATCAGAGAATTGCACAAACTAGTCATTGCGCACTCTTGGCTATAGATTAAACAACAACTTTACGATAATACAAGGGGTACCCTTTTCTCTACTCTAACCACATTATTTATAATGTATTTCAATAATATATATCAGACAACTAAAAAAATGAAATAATTATAATTATTAATTTAAAATTTTATAAATGTATGAAAGAATTCTCTTTTTGTTCACCAAAAGAAATAAATATATTTATGAATAATATATTTTTCCTAGTGCAATTAAAATAAGAAATCCATTTCAAATATTTTGGAAAAACTTGTTTGTCTTGAGAACCATTTGGCACGCTTCTGCAAGTGGTGCCCAAAGCATGATCTGTTTTACCACAACTAAAAGTCCCATGAGAACATCCCCCATAGCATAATACCGCCACTACCAGCCTGTATATGATCTGCTCTACAGGTGGGAGAAACTGTGTACCTGTAAGCCAGCATATCCTGATATGCCCATCGACCTGGTGAATGAGAAACGGTGATTCATTCGACCAGGCAACTGTTTTCCACTTATCCATGTCCAGTCTCAATGTTTCCGGGCTCACTGTAGCCTTAGTTGACGCTTGGTTAACTGAGGTATGAGAGTGAGATGTCTGCTGCACAGTCCCATATGCAACAGTGTTCTGAAACGCTTGCACCTTGGGCCTATATTGTATTGGGCTGTCAGTTGCTCATTGGCTGTCAGTCATTAGTAGCTCTTCAACTGTGATCTCCAAGATATGGCATTGTTTGTGACTCTGTATTTCCTCCTTTAAGTTCAAGCATTCTTCTCAAAATTTTTAATGCTTGTTAAAACTGTGTTGCTGTTAGTACAGGATTTGGAATTTCATTTGCAGACTCACTTTCATTTTTTACTAATTCGTTTGTTTTCTCTGATAACTTTGATGATCTCTGCATTTCTTTTTTCGTAGCAAGTCTGGATATTTCCACCAGTTCCCAAATTTTCGAGGAAGGTCTCGTCATGCATTTCTTCATCATCACCTTTTTCTTCTGGCACATCTTGAGATTTTTCTAAAATTTGCTTTTAATAAAAGCTGGCTTTTTTTAAAACGATTTAAAATTATTTGCAAATTTATTCATGGCATCCAAAAGAGAAATCGCCTTAACAATTTGCTTAGAAGAATAAACTGCATCAGTTGTATTGATTTCATTAATAACATTCTGAACCACTTCCTTCCTGTAATGACTCTTGAATGTCTTTTTAACAGCCTCTTCTAATGGCTGAAAAATGAAAGTTGTATTAGGAGGAATGAAAACTAATTTTATGTTCATCTACGAGACATCAGTTGAATGAGCAGCATAGTTATCTAACAACAGAACTACTTTTTTTTTGCTGAAGTTCTTGTTCCCACTTCATAAAAAGTCACTAAAAATATTGCTTGTCATCCAAGCATTTTTATGGTTGTAATAAGTCACAGGCATGGCATATGCTTGATGCCTTTCAGACAGTGAGGGTGTTTGCTTGCACCAATGCAGTCTTTTTAACTGTTCCATGCATATTACACATTAGTAACACGTTGTTTCATTTTTTTACAGCCAGCTGGCAACTCACTTTTAAACATTTCAGAAGTGAGGCTCAATAATCAAGACTAATTTTCAACAGTGTTAAAAATTTGATGTGGTTTGTATTCTTGTGAAAGTCTAACTAAATTCTTTTCCATCCAGTTATCGGCTTCTTTAGAGTCTGTGTCTTGTTTCTCTCCATGTAATTTTTTGAAAATGATATTATTTCTTCGTTCCCATCTTGTGAGCCATCCAACAGTAAGGACAAAATCCTCTCCCAGCATTGTGGCAAATTCTGATGCCTTTTGATACAGAATTTCTCATGATGTTATGCTGTTCATGTTCCTAGTGTTTCAAAACAACTCCAAGAGGATAGATTCTACATCCATAGACTTTCCACTTATATGAGACATTTGCTCTTGCCATCAATTCATCTGAAATTGCCTCCCATCTTTTCAACAACATAATGATATTGTTGAAATCATATATGTTGCAACATAATGCAATTTGTGAAATTCCAAGTTGTACAGAAGCTTAACATTAGCATTTTGGTAAAGCATTATATTGCTTCAACAATTTTCCATTATCTAATAAGCTTAAGTTCTTGCGTTTGGATATTTTGAGGCATGGCCCAACAATAGAAACACAATGTGGATGGATGAACTGAACAAACTGCATGAGCAAAAAACAACAATTTTTTATACAGATTCTCCCTGGTGTCTTTTTTCTGTTTCCCCTTTTCCCCAGCTGGTCCGAGCCAGTTCTGGCAAACCTCTTGTAACCCACACCAATCCATGATTGGTCCAGATAAGAAAATTGTTACATCTGCAGCTCCATATTTAAAAATGAATTAGTCTTGAATGAAATCGCTGACCTTTGAAGTATAGACTTGGGAGTTTTGGCAATTCCAGCATTTGCACATCCATGCATAGAAGTGAATCGACTTTTAACAAATTCATTAAACTTGAAACATAAACTTGGGGTTTTGATGTTACAGTTTTAAAAGTGATTTGATTTTTACAAGTGGTAGTATTGATTTTATTAAGTAACTATTTTATAATGATGTTATATTCATTTGAATTTGTTCCTTGAGTTTTGATTTTAATATTGGTTGATTGTATAAAGCAATGATTTTACAGTGGTACCCACTGTGCACCTTAATTCATTTATTTGGGTGGAGAATATTCATGTATATTCTTTTTTTTTTTTATTTTGGCCCTTCTGTAAACTGTTAATGTAAAAGTTATCTTGGTACTTACATATTAACGTCACCACAGCAGAAGTTGCGCTGATGCACCAATAAAGAGCAATCTTGTTGTTCGCACACAGTTATCTTTTGGATTCTTTTTTGCCTTGTTTGCTGATTTTTGACACCATTTTTTAGTGCTACGAAAATGAGTCGTTGGGATTTGCCAAACACAGAAGAAGATGCAATTTAATTTTTTCAGGAGTGAAATATTTTACCAAAAAATGAAAATGTACCAATTTGCTTGATATGAAACTTTATTTTGATAAACATACGTTTTGGAAATGTAATTTAAGACAGTGTGATCAGCAAGTGGGACTTAGAAAAGACAACTGGTTTGAAGGAAGCAGAATTCTATTTTGTTCAGCTTCAAGATTCATATACTGCTGGTGTGAGGAGTTGACGTTGATTAAATTTTGTGAAAAGCAACTTCATTTATCGAATAAAACTGTTATAGATTGAAACAATTACATGCGTGAATTATGTGTCTTGGATATGGAGAATAAACTAAACAAGAAGGTAGGTGGACCAGATTGCATTGTGGAAATTGATGAAAGTTTGTTTACTAAGTGTAAAAATAATTGTGGTCGAGTATTACTCGAACAGTGGGTGTTTGGTGGTATATGTAGAGAAACAAACGATTTGTTTTTGTCACTGTTCCTAATAGAACTGGCTCTACCCTTCTTAATTAAAATTATTGAAAACATTGCAGATGGTAGCATAATTTATTCTGACAGTTGGAAAGATTACCAGACAAATAGTAAGAAAGTTACAAACAAAGAAAATAGAGCTAAATGGGGGAACAAGAGACATAGGGGGACAGCAAGACATCATTTAAAATCTTATTTAGCAGAGCTCACATGGTGACAGCATCTGGTCAAAGAAAATAGAGACTGTTTTGAATCTATGTTAAACTCTATATTGGCCCATTTTCCACCAAAATCCGATCGACTTCTTTGATTTTAAATAAAGTGTTTTAATTTTTGATTTGTCGCAAACATTTCAGGTATACATTGGTGGCACTTAAAAACCGCCAAATCTGCAGCTGCGGTGGTGTTAATACGTAAGTACCGTTATCTTCCATATCAGTCATCACAAATTTAAATTGCATGCTCATCAAATGCATAGTCTAAAGCAACAGTTCTCAACCTTTTGACTAACTTGTACCATCTAAACAAAAATTGAAAAACTTTAATACCACCACTACATTTTGCAATGAATATTTTTCGATAGAAATATTAAATATGTATATATACCGTATTTGACGGCATATAAGACGCACCCTTATTTGGACGGCCACACACAAAGAAAAAAAGTTTCAATAGCATGGTTTCTTTTAGTTCTCACGTTTCGTAAAAGCCAAATAAACAATTATTGAATGCGATTCCCTTCACGTGTAAGACGCAGGTAACTTTTTTGCGACCAAATTTAGGAAAAAAAGTGCGTCTTATATGCCGTCAAATACGGTATATATTTTGCCATTTAGATAACCTATTGGCTATTTGAAAATAAAAAAATATTAGATTAAAATTTGGTTACTATTTTACTTATCAAAATTTAAGTTATAATACTTTGATTCTAAAATTTAGTGTGAAATTTAGGCCTGTTTAAGAGAGATAAATTTCTATTTGTCTTGGTCTTATTTCACTTTGTTTTAACCATATATTAGGATCCACTTTTAATTTTGTTCTGTATTTATTTTTAAAATATAACATGCAAGAAAGTGTGTTATTTTTGAAATCCTCAGTTAGAGTTCGATCACAGGAAATTTCTATCAATTGTTCTTTCCTTCTCGAGATTTCTGAATTTAATAGTTAAAAATACTTTGTTTCTTTCCATAACACCATTTTTTCTCAAAACCGTAAAAAACAACCTTATATTTAGCATAGGTATAATGAAACACTCAATCGATTTCGAGGGCAGCTAAAGGTCCCTCCTCATCAGGAGAAAGAAATACATAGAAAGAAGAAAATAGGAATCACAGAAACACGTGGTGCTTATCAGCACTGCACGTGGTTATAACTAGATTTTTAATCAGAGTTGCACTGGCCGCCTACTTTTACTGAGCCAGGCTGTCTGATCAAGCATAAAGAAATATTAGCGAAGTTAAAATAGGGAGCGAGGGGCAAATGCACATTACGCTCAAAATCTGAACTTCAAATAATTATTTGCCAGGATTTGAACCTCAGACTGAACTACCAGTGTTCAGCGACTTTACCGCTCAGCCATTTCTGGGCCTTACATTGTTTGGAATCAGTAAAAAATAATCCATGGGCTTAAATTCAGTTTGCATGCATGCTGAATAACTATCTAAAAGCAGCTGACAAACCAGAAGACAAAACAAAAATTAATAAAATATTAACCATTAGACTGACTGATATTTATTTCAGGTAATTCTTGTATGGGTAATTAATTATTAAATAATATGCTTTGATTGGAAATTTCAGAATACTGAAGCACCATTAGCTGTCGGTTGGTGAATTAATTGATAGTGCCAATGTGGTAAGTTTGCCCACATTACCCTAGTCATGTGACCTGATGTGCAAGCATATGGTGACAAAACTCCCAATCTATTCATTCTTTTTTCCTTCAATGGCAGGCATGCATGTAAGCCTCATCCATATCTTTATGTCTAAAATTGTTGTAACAAATACAGTTAAATTAGATTCACGGACTCCACAAAATTGATTTGTTAGCCACATGCATGCCGCAGACCTTGAGTTTGAGACCACTGATTAATATAATTAATAAATACCTGAAATCATAAATATGATACTGATGGCAAAAGACTGGTCAAAGGGATAAATAATGTAATTATATTAAACATTTGTAGTTGTTGAAACCTAGTTGCATTGGATATGATCTTGAAACCCATTTTCTATTATGTTAGAAAAATTTGGTTGTTGAAAGTAATGTCTGATGATAATCTTATGGAAACTTCTGAAAAAAGTTTAAAGGAGATTTAAATCAAGTAACAATATGTTATATTCTTCATACAAAGTAATAGAATTTAAATTATCAAATGAGCTGAAAAGTGAACCAGGTTATTACTTAATAAGCACACTTTATTATAGTCTTATCTGTATTATTTTTATATAATCGCTTTGCATACAAAATCAGCAGTCTTTCCATATTCATATTCATCCAATGAAGTCTTGCATAGTGTGTCAGAGCATACATAAAGATCAATTTCGAATGCAACGACTGCTCATGAAGATTTCGTAAATCATGTTTGTACTATATGACACTGCCTGCAAGTACTGTTGTGTTTGAAAGAATGTATTCTAGCTTTTCTTTTATTTGCAAGCAAAAAGAAATTCTTGGGTTTTGAAATGCAAGTGAAATTGATCTTCAACATTAAACTGAACTTGAATGGTGATTCTAGTGCTATGTAACTTTTGGATAAATATCGCAACAAAACTTTTTCAATTTACAAAACATTTCTATTTTATTGTATTTATTGTATAAACATTTTATTGTATTTAAAAAAAAAAACTTTTTAGTGCTGCTTTTATAGCCAAAACTTATTTATGCATTGCCAAACCGGGATAGTTAGCAACACTGACTGCCATATCGAAGTGCCCATGTTCAAATCCCAGAGAGAAGGCATGGATGTTTGTAAATGTATAGTGCCTGTGCGGCATGAGGTCAAAACATGTGGCAAGCCAAAAGTCCTCTTGAGAGGTTGTTGGTAGAGGAAGAGGGGTGGGGGACCATCAGACCCATTTCCCTGGGGTGCTCTTCATCAAAATTAGGGACAGAATTGAGTAATGTCATACTGTCACCTGTATGGTGCTCAATGCATGGGCAATGTTAATGACAGACACAGTCTTGCACTCCTTGCCACAGAGAATTTCTTGTTTTGATGTTATTGTCAGACAAGTGAGATAAGTCACAACAACAACACTTATTTATGCCATGCTAGTTTTAACCAGTTATAATCAGTGTTTTTAACCACTTTGGTAGACATCTGACAACCTAGGTTATAATAATATATCATACATAGCAAATGTATCCTTTTGCTATGAAAATGTCCTGAAATGTATTCTAACTTTCTGAAAATTTCTCATTCCTCTGAGAATGTTCGTATTTGAAAATAGGTTTACCAAGTTGCGTTGTACAAAATGTGTGTTTTATTGCTGTCTAGTTGGTCATGGGCTTGTATGTGATCCATTATTTTGCTTAAAAACCATTCTCATTTATACGATCAGTTGCATTAGCTTTCTCTATGAAATAGTTTTCTGATTTACTGAAATGTGCTCCTGAAAATATTCCAGTGTAGCGATATTTGTTTTAAGATGTGTGTATTAATCCCTGTAACATTTCTGTGTGATACTGTGTCTTCCATTACCTTCATTAGGTTGGCCCATTTTCTTGCTGATGTGATTTTTCCTGTTTAATCTCAGGCCACAAGTTTGCTTTTGGTCTCTTGAATTATAAGACTACAAATTAAAATGATTATAAATGTAAATCAGTACCTTAAATGGTTGAAAATATTTACCTTGAAGATGCATCATGATTCTGTGCTGTTTTTTTTTTTTTTTTTTTTTAAGTTACAGATATGATGTGGCTTCTTCAGATTGCTTTTTCCTGGTCATCTTTTTAATATAGTGTCACATGAGTACTTGCTTTTTAACATAGCAGAGCTTATACACACACTAGCATACTGGAATCACCCCTGCATATTATACTAGCATACTGGAAGAGAATTAGGAGGAGCACTGTAGAGACTTACAGCAAAAAACTTAACCAACTAAACTTAACTATCAACACATATTCATAACTATCAATGCATAATCCTTTTGTTTGTTTCATAGTAATAAACGAAACTGTACTTTGATTCTAAATGTTGGGATGACTCCTGAAATTGTTGGCATTTATCTAGATATATGATGTTCTAAACTTTTTACTGACACATTTATCTTTGGCCAACAAAATCTTGCTTAATTTGAGTGCTTTGTGGTAAAATGTGTGTAGGATTAACAGCACACTATAAAAAAGTTTTTATTGGAAAGATGTTAATGGGAATATTTTTTGCTTATGTTTAAATTAAAAATGTAGTTGTACAGATATTTGTGCTTGTATAAAATGTTAACAAATCTTCTATTTCAGGTTTGGACTGTTGTTGTTGGATACATAATAATTCTATCTGTATGGTGGACCCCAAATACGAGGCCTTACTTAATTTATCTCTCGCCTATAGTGTGGACTATTCTAATATGTCACCTTGTTAGTATTGCTGGTTCTTTACGTCTGACCATACTTCTTGCCTTAGTAGCCTTAATGGTAATTGGCTTTTTAGCTGACATAAAAGGACGGTACTCAGATTCTGGTATGTTATTTCTTTATTTTATCAGTTGTGTTTTCTATAATTATATTTGTATAAAATATTAGGTACAGAGTGGTACATAAAAAATCAACCTTTGTATGCATGTACAGACAGAAGTTAATTCACGAGCTTTGTTGTGATTATTGTAGGTTATATCATTGTCAGTATAAAAGCCATTTAGAGGAGCCCAGCGAAATGTATTTACTATAACAAAGAATCCCAAGAGTGGAGATTCATATCCAGCAGATGGATAAATTTTTTTGTGTACCACCTTGAACATTTAGGCTAACAATGCACTAGTAAATGTGTTCCAAATGTAGTATCCTGTTTATTTCAATTTATAAGTAGCTATACAACAATGCCAATATAAATAAGTAGAAAGAATGGAAAACAATCTAGTACTTTTCTTGATACTTACTGATTATCTGCACCCTCACCAAAATGTCATGAACTCGTTGGCAGCTGTAGCGAACATCCATGAACTCATTGCAGACCTTGAAGGGAAGGATCTCTTTGGGTATCTTTATGTCTGTTTCAATAACGTAGCTAGTGCTGCCTATTTTTACTTTGTACAAAGTAAAGGAAGTACTGTAATCATGAAAAATTTAGGTTATCATATTTCATCAGGAATATCCATTTTAAGTTTTTTTTTTTTTTTTTTTTTTTTTTTTTTGTGTGTGTGTGTGTGTGTGTGTGTGTGACGCCTGTATGTAAGGACAGAGTAAAGGACTCTGTTTTCCAAAATGCATTTTTTCATGACGTCTATAAGAATGTATTTATTTATCTCACGTAACTCAAGCCATAGAATGGTAAAATTTTTTTGTATGGGATCTATAATATCTAGTGGTTCACCTCCCATTTTTATTGTAGTTTGCTGTACCATAGAAAATATATTTTAAATCATCACATATTCAATTCCGGATAAATTGCATGCAAAAAAAAAAAAAAAAGTACGGTGACAAACTGCAAGAAATATGCCAGAACCAAAAATGAATTTAGATCTTTCACATTGTCATCAGGGGGTTAGTGCAATGGAAGAAGTAAATAATTAAAATAGCCTGTATCTGAACTGACAAGGACAAAAATTAAGATTTAAAAATAGTCTTACTTAAACAATAAAAGTAAACTGTGTCTTCATCAATCCAATCTCTAAAAGCCGAAGTAGACAGTGCAAAAAAAAAAAAATTGCAAAATTATAACATCAAAAATGTAGAAAAATTTAAAAAAAAATGTGAGATAATAGACAAATATAAAATTATTTTGTGTAGATCGAGTCCAAAAACAAAACTTTCAAAAATATTAATCCAGTACTTGAAAACAAAACCATATCGAAATTTTTAATCAAATGTTTGAAAAGCAAAATATTTTGTTTATGTGTTTGGGCATAATCCTAATTCTTCTTCATAAAATTTCCCAGACTTATTTTAAATCTAACTGCTGTTGTGAATGCGATACAATTTTTAGTTTCTGATCCATATTCTAACACTTTGCTTGCAATATTGCACATTGCATTTCCATACAACTTTGTTTTTTAAAATGTATAGTTTCATAAAAAGTGAATTTTTGCATTCTGTTTTGTTGCTCAAATGCCATGTTCTAAAGACGTGCAGTGCTTTTTTTTTTATCCACTTGCAAATTTTACAGTCCCATTGTAATTCATTACAGGAAAAAAAAAAAAAAAAGTATTCAGAACGAAAAGAAATACTGAACAGAGAAATAACTGCTGAATTTCAGATGAATATTTTCTGGTGATATAGCTCTTTGCGTCATCAGTACTTTTTTTGCTTCTTTTCATTGTAAGGTAATCAGAAAGTACCATTTTCTGTTTAGCATTTTTAGTTGTCATTTCCTTAGGTTAATTTTTTTAATTAACTTGAATTACATCATTTAGTAACTGTGAAGTGATGAAGAATCTCAAAAATTATTCTGAGACAAAAGGTATCCACATCAAAATCCACTATTTCAGAAACTGTATAATGGACTTTTATTTTATTACTGTAATGGAAGATTTGTGCCATGAGAAGGCAGTTTTAGAAAGATGCTGATTAGGAGGTTTGCACATTTCTTTTTTTATAGTTGGTCAGTTTCTGGTGTTGAGAGCTCATGTTTGATATAATTATGTCAACTGAAACTAAAAGTAAATCACTGTGCAACTGTCACCTGAAATATTTACGTTTCTTCTTATTTGTGAATCTCTGTACATTGAGGAGGGGGATATTTATTTTGGATTTAATAAAATAGTATTATTAGTTAGATTGTGTGTTTTATGTTTAGTACCAAGTGGCTCTCAGATAACTAAACACGTCAATTATTATTTATTCACATATATTTCATTACAGGTATTTATCCTATAATACATTAGTTAGGTTCCTAGAAAATACAATGTTGTACAAACAAAATATATTTTTAATGGTTCTCAATGTTGCCTCATTTAAATTTAGACTTTTTTGCAATGCCATATGCCATTTTCCTTTTAACAAAGTACTCAAAAAATTGTATTTTTATCTCCAAAGAAATAAATTTTATTTTAAAAGTTGTTTTCTTGCTTTCAGATATAGTCTCGGTCTCAAATATGACTTCAATGATAATTACTCCTAAAAATAACAAAGCTAAATGATAATAAAGACCCAATCATTTTTTTACAAAATATTCTTCTAAAATCATTTATGCAGTTATGTAATTTATGATTACAATTTACGCAATCTGCCACCTGAAAACCTGGAGCACAAGATATATGCTGTATAAATGATGAACATAACTCAGTTTCAAAAGAAATTTAATGTGAAAGTATGCAGATATTTCCCTAATTTATTTTATTTCTTTGTGTATAAATGAATAGATCGCTAGTGTACACTACACGCAATGGCATAGCATGTAACTTAACTTTTTTTTAATGTTTAGAATAAAAATTGTGCTATAAATGTATATATAAAGTATTATAATACAGTTTACGCATATACGGTCAAAAGTCTTTAATACGGACTTTCATAATACAGACCTCAAAGCTACAAACTTTTTGCGCATGCGTAAACGCATAATGCATCTACGCATGCACATAATACGCTTACGCATGCACGTTTAATGTATAATGGACGGCATAAGCTAAGCTAAAATTATCTAGTTATCTATTTCAGTTAATGTTGCAGATTGCGTTGTTCCTTAATCTTTTAATTGGATCCGGCTTATTATTTTTTGCAGACTGTTAGAGCAGTTTTATAAAAGTAAGCTTGAACTTTTGATTATGTCAAAAAGAATTTCCGATTCTGGAGCTGCCGAAGGATCTGTTGGAAAATATAGCTTGTTTTAAACCTTTTACTGCATCATCTCTCCTCCTTGAAATGTTTATTTAGTTTAGTTTATTTTATTTTAATGTAATATAGTAGTTCTTTTTCTTGCTGCCACTGTTTGCGTTGAGAACGGACTGTTTCAACCTAATTGAGATGCAAAAACGAAACGTGATGTTACGTCATCTGAAAAGCCGATTCGTGCCGATAGCTGATTGGTTGCCGTGAGATGACGTCATTCCTACTTCTGCTATAAGTATCTCGCGTAGCTCTGGCTCAACCCTTCTAGTTCCTGCTTTCCTGGCACTTGAGTGAGCGGTTTCCAGCCCCTTCAGAAGGATGCATGCAGTCCGGTGAATAAAGTGCCTTGGTTCCGGTTTGCGGGATGGCTGTTCCTGAATAAAGTTCCTTGGTGCCTGTCCGTGGGATGATTGTTTCGGAATGAGTTCTTTGGTTCATGTCCACAAGATTATTGTTCCGGAATAAATTCCTTAGTTCCAGAGGCTATCATGTGAGTGACAGCCGTGGGCGGCATCCATGTTCTTCAATAAAGGCGGCATTTAAAATACGTGAGCGGCGATTCCTCGTGGGCAACTAATGCAAAAGGAGTTAGGCCGGTTTTAAGTGTTTTCAAGAACTTGATTTAAATTTCAGGTGTTTTTCTCGACCATTGATTATGGACTTATTGAATGTGTAGCCAGCTTCATTTTTAGGCCGCTTAATTAATGTTTAGGACATTTTTGTTTGTATTGAATGCCAGTGTTTTGGAGACCAGGTAAAAATATTATTTGATGAATGATGGTTATATTATATTTTTCCTAAGACTCTGATATTGTTGAAATTTATTTTTCTGTGTTTTTATTCTTTATTATATTGTTAATAAATTGGTTAAGTTCAAAACCTTTTATTGTCTTCAATGTCTGCACAACATGATATCTCAGGGAGCTTTTATTGCTACTACTGCTAAATGTTTAATTTCTTTTCAAACTTTAAACTTTGCTTTAGCATCATTTTGGTTATGGGCCACCAGCCCCTGAGTTATTTTTAGTGCAGACTTTTGAAGTTTAAAGTTAATTTAGGACTTAAGAGATTGGGGGGCGGTTTTTGTTAAAATTCAAATATGGCTACCGTTAGTGTCATGCATAATATTGCTAAACTTGATGCATGGCTTTTGGTTAAAGGTATTGAAAAATGTCCTGATTTAAATTATGTTAAGGGTATTACAAAAGAAATTACTATCAAAATAGAAGTCGATTGGCATTATCGTTAATTTATATGAATGTAAGCCCTGAATATAGAAACTTGATATGTGAAATTGATGACCCGGTAGTGGCATGGAATACGCTTGCCAAATACTTCCAGCCAGATTATCGGTCAAGACATATGTCCCTGTTTTCAGAGTTCTTAAATTGTAAAAATAAGCCAAATGAAAGTATTAGTTTCTTTTCTTCTAGATTAAAACGCGTAACTGAACAGTTAGCTGATATTAATCAGGCTGTAAGAGACGTATATATATGTTTCCAGTTTCTTAGGTTCCTTCCAGATAAATTTGATCAAGTAGTTCAGAATGTTTTGAGGTGGCCAGATGAAAAGTTCATATTTTTAAAAATGTTGAACTTGAAATTACTAGCAGAGGAAACGCGTCTTAACTTAAGAGAGATAGATAGGGAAAACTCCAATAAGACTATAGAAGTTCAAAGTACTCACTGTGAACCCAAATTTAAGCAGATTAAAGGGCTCAAG